TATATATATATATTGTGTTTTTTATTAATATTGTTAATTTATTTGGTACCTACTATAATTACCACGATTATTACTCCGTTTTCATAAGGCCCACCTAATGACTACAACGATTAGGTAAATTACGATATTGCAAAGTTTTAATGAAATAAATAAAAAATGTGTATGAATATTTTAACTAATTGTACTAAGAATTTTTCTTTCATTCTTAACCCTCTCGAAAATTAATAAGCACACCCCCGATTTGCTGTCAACTGGGCTTACTTCTACTTTCAATCATTATTGGTTTTAGTATATATAGTTATTTTTTACACAAATTTTCCACTTATAGTGTTCAATCTAGCTTTTCTACAGATTGAAGATTATAGATAAAATATATTGGAATGGAGATGATTGAAAAGTTCTGGTTGTTTCTTACAACAAATATCCAGTAGATTGAGGTAGCAAATAAATAAATTCTATTTTTTTTTCAGTTACACCGTGCAGGCACAAGAAAAGAAGGAGTAAAGGAATTGTGAGGTGAATTATTGTTTTTGGAATAAAGGAATAGAAAACAGAGTATTATTTATTTCTGCATCTCTAAGTATTCAAAAGTTGGAATATTTCTAATATACGGGATTATTCAAATTCGGGTTTAAAAGTGGATATTTCGGACACGGTAAAGGATAGTTAGAAGAAATATTTCTATTTCTACATTAAGAAACTCCTGTATGTATCAACATCATATAAATTACCCATCTGAATTTTTGTAAACTCAACCAAACACGAGCATCTTTGCGGATCGCATGCGTTCGTACATTCTGACCAGCTGACCATAAAGAAAAATAAATTATTGCAGGTCTTTGACGCTAACGATTCACACTCTGGTTGATCCAAACCCAAGAGGAAACATGATGTTAATTTTAGTTAATTAATCAGTTTCACACAGGCATATTTTAAAAAGAATTGAACAACTTCGCGTATTTAGTGAGGAAGATATCGGTTTATGAAAGGAAGCGAACAACATTAAGGCGGAATCTTATCAAATGGACTCGCTTGCGACTAGTTTCGTTTTCAAAAACAGAATAAAAAGAGTTGTTTTACTTTTTAAAACAACCTCGAAACTCGACTTCCACTAAACAGACAAAACCTAGTCCGAGTCGCGTGTTTTGTTGTGAAATGTTTTCTATTTTCATAATGCCTTCTCTAGACAATGTTCTCATAATGACCTGCGTTTTTTTTATAATCGAATCTTTTGAGCGAAAACAGCGAGAGTGAAAAAACCAAGATACCTACTGTATGACATCATTTATATGTATAATGCTGTAGCATAACATACAAATTTTTGAAATTGATTGCTTTCTTGTTTTTGTATAAAGATGGAGAAGTAGAAAGCCAAAACCTTTTTTCTCAATGATACACATACCTATTATTGATATAAGTCTAAAATTTTCAATATGCACTTTCTCATCAGTTATATAAATAGATGAGAAGTCTACGCCTGCGATATCATGCATATAACTAAGTCAAATTGAAATCAATGTTCATTATGGTATTATAATAGTGTTATTTATTCTGTCATATATTCGAACATTTTTTTGTTGAATTTATTCGTTTTTTTGTGTGAGACAAATATTTTCCTCTTAAATTTTTGGGAACCTTGACACCAAATCAAAAACTTTCTCGTTTGGTATATAGACGGTTAATTCATAAAAGTAGGTATAACAATTATCTTCTAATACAGAGGAAATGCTGAATGTTAAACTTCTTGAAAATGAATGGTCTAATAATCATAATACTATCAGCATCATCGATCTCTTTATGGAATATTTAACACAGTATTATAAATTATAATTTCGAAGAAATAAAATGTTTGTGAGCCAAAAACTAACAGACCCTAAAAATGATGAATTTACTGTTGTTGTGGTAACAGTGCATATCAAAAAGTTCAGTGTGAATTATGATTCTGAGGAAACTACGGAATTATTGATATCTCTGATATTTTGAAGGGTACAACAAATCTCTTCCAGTTCAAAATATGTTCATTTTCACTCAACCCGAATGTCGTCTCAATGTAATTAAACAGTAAAACTATAATTTGTTAGATGTTGAAGGTAAATGAGTAAGAGGCCATCATTATAAAATTTCAAGCTATGATAGGCCTTTAGTATCAACACATTTTAAGTCACTTGTGTAGGTAAAAGCTTGAGATTAACAATATTTTCATTGTTGTATGATGAATCATTGTGAAATTTTTCACTATCGAGTTGTTAAGTTGAATTGAGCATATATTAGGTATATTAAGCAGGCAGATTCAAGAACATCGAGCATGTTACTATTGACGAGAAGAGGTTAACAATGTTCTGTGCCGGATATATTCACTGGTTTGGAAAGAACCCCACTCTTTAGTACTTTGGAACTATGACTCGTAAGCTGCAAAGTGAGATTCGACTTCGATATGCCTGTTGAGCTCTCAAGAAAATGTAAACGTCTTTCCAAAGTTATACCAAATGTTTTGTGGCATATGTTGCGATGACTAATCATTAAGCTCAATTCTTGGAAATTAGATTGAACGTTAGAAGTTTCATTGATACTGAAATAACTACCATCCCAGCTAACAAAATTTTGCCATCGATATCTCAGTTATATCACTTTGTCATATAGACGTTGACATGATATCTATCAGAGGCACTCTCATAATGATAGTAGATGTCTTTCCGATATTGCAATGAGTTTTTAATGTCAACAAGATGTTATTCTATAAAATTTCCTGGAGGATATTAGTCTTTGTTTCTCTAATATTAAATGAACAGTTAGATATCATAAAGTAGTTACATCATCCAGAGCAAAGTATTTGGCTCCTTCGTGATATCACATGAAAAGAGACATCGATAGGATATCAGTTAACAGCTTCAAGAAAGTAAATTTTACCGGAGGTTTTCAATTTTTTATATCCGTACATTCATTTCGTGCCTAAATTTTTCATTTAGATTTGCTCAAACTTATGTGCACGGCCAGAGTCACGATCAGAAAGAAAATCTTGACTGGTAGGCCGTGGTCAAAAGGAACGTATCAAATGTGTCGTCTGATACTGCGGTAGACATCTTCAGTTGTAGGCATCAACTGTGAGGACCATGCTGTAATATCTTGAAGTTCTCCTGGTGGATTATTGTTAAATGAAACAAGTTGGAGGAATTTTGATAATCAAATGCCCGTTGGACATGAAGATAGTGACAGGACGCACTCCCAATTAAAACACAATGCCTTTTCATACATGACACTTAGACGTTTAGTTTTCTTTTTCTTTATCCAAAATGCTGTCAGAGAATAATAAACCGCTTCCTCCTTAGGATCACTAAGGTAGTAGCGCTGTTGTTCCAAGCTAATTTTGTTTTGTTCATTTTCTGTCAATCAAATAGTGCACTACAAGGTAAATAGTGCACCACAAGGTAAACAGATGCACTAAAAAAAAGATAATGTTGGCTAAACTTGTTGTTGAATTTTTTGAAAACTGTCAATTATAATGTCAATTGTCATTTTTTGCTCTACTTCATTCATCGAAATAACCGTTATAGGATATGACTTCATTAACGTGAAATTGCTGCCAATGATGCCAACATTGTTTGCAACCACATCTTCCACATTTTTTCAGATACCACCTCGTCTGAAGTTGACTCTATTTTGTAACCTTCTTACCTGCCATGACTCAACTAATAACCGACCAAGCGTCTTCATTTCATTCTGGTTGGAGCCCAGCTCCTTTACCCTTTTAGCTGATTTTTGCCGAAGAGGGAAAAATGGGTTCATGACTGAGGAGGTATTGGCGGTATGAAGTCCTCAGACATCAGTACCGCCTTTCATGAGGTACCCCTACCTAGGTGGGGTACGCGACTAATAAGTCTCGGGTTTGGTTTATACATATAGCACTTTTGAAAGTTACCAAAAACCATCATGTTACGTTGGTTTCTACCTTGGTAACACTGACCTCGGCATATATTTTTATGTTTGTCAACATTTTTTGACATTGACGTAATGTAAAAGCGGCAAAAAACTTCATGAAATCATTTTCCAAGGTCTTGAGTGGTGTTTTTTGTATTATTCTCAATAATAAAAACTTTAACGGTTTACCCAGCCGGTTTTCATCCGTTCCTTCATTCAGTCCGTTTCTAACTTTTGTAAAAGAAGCCCAATTATTGAAAATGCCGCCAAAGAGAAAAGCTACCACTCAAAAATCCAAGGAGAATCCAGTAACAGGTAAGATTAGACAGAAAAATATATGGCCGATTATAAATTTGGAATTCTACTTCGTTAATGTAGACATCATCCCCGGACATCTTAAAATTTGTTTTTGTTTTTTATTTATTTTTATCGTTGTGAAAACTAAAGTAACAATGATAATTTCATGGGGGTTAACCCTTTTTGTCCCAAATTAGGACTTCAGAATAATTTTGGGGGAAAAAAATGTTTTTCATTTAGCACTTTGGGAATTTTCACCTTTCACTATTCGAAATATCTTGAAAATTGTTAAGGAACACTTTGTGCAAATGTTCACCAAAGACGTGAACCACTCTTTAAAAAAGGCACACATACTGCCAAATCTCTTATGGTTTCTTGAAATGTTTCAGATTTCCAGTAATCTTGTGAAAATGCAGACGATTTCGAAAGATTTCTGAGGATTTTGTGGAAATGTCAAGCCATTTCTATAATTTTTTTAACATTAGCATTTGTAGCCAGGAAAGAATAAACTTCCTTTTATCGTTTTACTATGCTTATAGTCTTTGGTTTCTGGATTTTTCAAATTTCTTCAAAATCTTTTCCTTTCCAATTTCTATGGAATCCTATTTATTCATCCTTTGGTTTCTAGTCTCATTTTCGGGACTCAGTTCATTTCCATTATTTTCTCAAGTTTGTTTTTTTGGTACCAATGGAATGAAATAAATTTTCAGTTTTCACTATTCTCAATTTGAGTATTTGTAGTTCAGGATATTGAGCCAGAGGTTCCAGACGATTTTGTGGACAAGAAGCCTCGTAATAAAAGAGGAGCTGCAAAGAAAGGTAGATATATCAATACTGTGGTTCTATTTTTTTGCCAGTAATAAGAGTTTCAGATGTGGTAGAGGAAGTTGCTTCTGCTGAACCTGAAGAAGTAGTGAAAAAGAAGAGCCCCAAAGGCTCTACCAAAACCAAAGGTAAGTATAATCTTTTTATTCCAAAACTACTAGCTTTGAAATGAACTCATTTCAGATGTGGTAGAGGAAGTTGTTCCTTCTGTGCCTGAAGTAGTGGAAAAGAAGAGCCGCAGAGCCGCCACCAAAACGAAAGGTAAATATAATCTTATGATTTCAAAACTACTAGCTTTAAAGTTAACTTATTTCAGATGTAGTAGAGGAAGACGCTCTTTCTGTCCCTGAAGAAGTAGTGGTAAAGAAGAGCCGCAGAGGAGGTACTACTAAAACCAAAGGTAATTTTGAATATTTGAATTCATTTGCCTAAAACGTACTGATTTCTTCTTCACTAAAAAGCGTTGAACGTTTCAATATTATTTTCCAGAAAACAATGTGCTTACATTGTAACAGGCAAATTTTTCAATTTTAAAATGTTTTGAAATCCAGAAATTCAATTATAGTAATCTGATAAACAAAAAATCTTATGTATGAATTTATGAGATTGAAAAGGTCTTTTTAATTTTAAAATTCTACCAACTGAAGGCACAGACAATGACTAATTAACTGATTTTGGTCACTGTTATATGTTTCAAATCAAGGCATATGTTACAAATATTTCTCATTTTTCAAGTAACAAAAAAAAAGGACCATAACATACAAATTATAAGAAATGCAGATTTTCCCAAATATTCAACAAGATATTCCAAAAATACTCATGAAATGAGGAAGAACGACTCATTGAAAGAGAAGAAATGAAACAGTCTATGTTTTTACCACATTTATTTGTAACTATCGTTACTGCAATTTGGTCCTATATGGACATTTTTAAACTAATACAAAGTGTTTAAAATAACTGGTTCATTTATTTAATCATTTCTTTTTTTTAAATGCGTCTTTTTTTAACATTACGATTTCTGTATCCATTTTCTGCATTCATTTTTTACTATAAGAAATACCTTGTTATTCTTAGCTGCAGTAAAAGAATCAGCACAGGAAGAACCAAAAAAGTCTGCTAGAGGAAAAACATTGCCAGCTAAAGCAGACAATGAAGAAGAAGAAGAGATTACTATGGAGACCAAGAAATCCTCAAGATCCGCAAGAGGAAAGAAAAAGGAGGAGGAATTAGATGCTAACGGAACTGAACAAGAGAAAAAAAGAGCAACTCGTAAGAAGAAAGCAGGTGAATAATACAAATTTGTTAGTTATAGTAACTCTCTTCATTCATCTCCCAAAGAAAATCCGAACTGAAAACCTTAACTAATTTTCCTGGTAAATCTCTTGGAAAACTTTATTTGAATAACTTATTTTATGGTACTTTTGAATACGGAAACTTTTTTGTTATTAGTAATTCCAATTTGTAATTCATCGTAAAATATTTTTATGTGCTTCTTGTTATCTCTATATATCGCGTGAATTTAACTTTTATTTATATTTTTTCTTTGTGCCGCTCTTTTTATTACAGTTAATGAACATTATTGATATGAAAAAATTGTCAAAATTCATAATTACAGAATTCTCATTATTTATAGATCCAGAGCCTCTTAATGAAGAACCAAAACTGAAAGGGAGAAAGAAGGCAACAAAAGAGAAAGAAGAAGAAAAGGTAGAAAAGCCTTCAAGTTCTGCCAAAACGACAAAGTCAACCGCTATTAAAAAAAAGGTAACAAAAGATGATAAAAAGGCTGAGAAAGAAGAGAAGGTTCCTCTCAACAAGACCACCACCGACTGGGATTCTATTGATTTCACTTGTTCGAAGCGAAATGCTGAGGGAATGTCCCACAATTTGATCATCAGCTGTTGGAATATTGGGGGATTAAAGAGCTGGGTGAAAAAAGACTGTTTGAAATTCCTAGAATATGAAAAGCCAGACATTCTGTGTATCCAGGAAACAAGGTGCAGTGAAGAAAAATTACCGGACGAAATTAAGGAACTCAAACTTTATAAACAGTATTGGTGTCCAAGTGAAAAGGATGGTTATGCAGGGGTGGGAATATTAACCATCAAGGAACCCATAAGTGTGGCTTATGGAATTGATGTACCAGAATTAGATGAGGACGGGCGGTGTATAACTGCAGAATTCAAAGAATTTTATCTTATTTGTGTGTATGTACCAAATGCAGGTAAGAAATTAAAATTTTATTGAAATCGGTCAGAAATAAAATTATCTATGTACCACGGGAATTAATGAGCCTTAATAACCTCAGGCAATTGCTGTCCCTCGGGCCAGAGGCCCTCGGGACGCAAACTTTGCCATCGGTAATTAAGGCCCTCCTAATTCCCTTGATACATAAATAACTATTATTTTTCAACATAATATTTATCTTTATATACTTTTCCCAGCGACGTTCAATAAGTTCGCTACCGTTTTTATAATACGAACTGTATTGCTTCTCAAAATAGCCATCAACTGCCGACATCACCTCTTCATCGTTGAAAAATCTTTGACCAGAGTCATTTTTTCCAAGTTTGTAGAATAGCGTTTATTTGCAAATAGGCATAATTTACAGGTTATAATAAATTGAAGGATGTAGCCACTACTACGTGGTAGGAGATCATAATGAAGAAAAGAGAATTGAAAATTTCTATGTGTTTTACCACTTTTATTTGTAACTAACGTTACTGCAGTTTTGTCCTATAAGGACATTTTCAAAGTTATACATTGAACTAACAATGATTTATTACATTAACCCTTATATACCACCCCTGGTATATAAGGGCTGGGGTGGTATATAAGAGCTTACTGTCCCGATATGCTCGCGGTTAGCGTTTAATAATAATATCGTAACTCGAATGCCGTAGAAATTTCGCCGAAGTTCCGTCGAAATCGGTATCATTATTCTCGCTACTTCTAGAGTGGTAGGGAACATTGTGCATTCGCGCTCTCTTAGCTACGTCACGTTTGGTTTCTGGTTACCAGTGGCGGCTGACGTTATTTTCTTTCGGGCATGATTTATAACACTACCCCCGTCCCTGATGTTGTTCGCCCCGAACAATATTCCAAGAAGGGACATCACGACCCATGTAAGGACGTGGACAACTTTAGGCTTGCCTCTGGGTGACAATTGGAATCTGTACACCAGATCGTTCATCTTTATGGTTACCAAGTAAGGTCCTTGCCATGGTCTCTGCAACTTGGGATAAAAACCTTTCCGACGTTGGGGTTGGTAGAGCCACACTGTATCGCCCTTCTTGAAGCTCACTGGCAGCGACTTTTTGTCAAATCTTAGCCTAATCCTGTCGCTGGAAATCTGTAATTTGGTCCTGGCAAATGCGTGTACAATTTCCAGTCTCTCCCTCAGGTCATTCACATACTCTGAAAGAGGTACCTCTTAAGATTCATCGAAAGGACTGCCACACAATACATCCATCGGAAGCTTCATTTCCCTACCAGTTAACAACATGGATGGTGTGTAACTTGTCGCCGTTGGGAGGTCCTGTATGCCAACAGAAAAAGGGGGACCAATCTATTCCAGTCTCTTTGGTTTTTGGAGACATGATGGTGCGATTAAGCCTCTCGACCATTCCATCGGATTGTGGGTGGAGAGCAGTTGTTCTTGTCTTCTTTATTCCCAACAGAGTCATTCTTGGGTTACTTGGGGTCTGGCAATTATGTTCTGCAACAAGGCTTCTGCCACCGTGTTAGCCTCTTATTTGGGTAAGGCTACTACTTCAGTCCATTTGGAGAAGTAGTCCATCACAATCGTAAGGTACTTGTTTCCGGATGTGGTCATAGGGAGTGGTCCCAAAATGTCGACTGCGATTCTATCGAAAGGGCACCCACTGAGGTACTGCTTCAACTTTCCTCTCTGACTTGTCTGACTTGTCTCTACCATCGTAGAGCTGTTCAAGGATACACGTCTTAGGAAAGATCGTCTGGAATTTGCCACTCCGGCCTCACTCCTTTGGCAATCCATTCTCGCGAGACAGTTTTAGGAATCACACGTTAAAAGGTAAGACCTCTTTAGTCCTTAGCTCGCACAAGTTTCTCAACTTTTGAGGGCGTTCGTATGGGGGGCGACAGCTGATTAACGGAAAAGCATTTTAAATAGAACAGATTTATTTTCAAGACGGTATCCTCCTTCTGCGCTACGATGATGAAGCGCTACGAAACGTTAATATAATTACCCATACAATTTTTTAACTTTTTTGATAGGCAAAATTATTAAATACAAGTTGATGATAAATAGAAAATTTTTCTTTGCCAAAAATACTTTGAATTTACGCAGTAACTTATCGGGGTGAACTGAAAAATTGCCTTTCTAAATCTGTATAAATTTCTTCGTTACAATTCTTGTTTTTTCAGATTGTAAAAGGTGAAAATACACAAAAANAACTTGGAACAGCCAAAGTCGAAACGCACGCATATTCACTTATTCATTATTATGATTTAAATCCAATAATCATGGAGGTAAATGAACTGAAATTCCATTCAAAAAATGTGAGGACACATGAAGGCGGTCACAAAGACTACTCATGGGACACATCTAACTATTTAAAAATATTAGAATTTTCGGTATTTCATAATCAGATATATTATTTTCTTAAATTCAATCACACAGTACACCAAATACAAATGCAATTTTCCTGACATCCATCAATGAATAATACTGGATTTTGTCAGCATATGGGGAATCGGTAATAAGCAATGAAAAGTTTATAGTCTAAGTGAGTTGTACGGGTAACTAAATCACGTACTCCTATGAATTCCATTAGTTCGGACTTCCATTATCTTATATGATACAAAATGATTTGGAAACCCTAAAATGACCACCAAAATTTAAATGAATAGCTGAAAATAACAATAATTTCAAGCAAAAATAAAAATGAAATGAAACTCAAGCAACAATTGAAAATTTAACAATGAAAACGAAATAAAAATCGAAAAATTTCAAGGCTTCACTTCACGACTGTTAGTATCTACAATCGTGAAGACTGGAAATATTTCTCCGAGAGTGCTTCCACCTATCCCCTCCTCCCTCTTTCCGTTTCACCGGTTTAGCGGCAGCTGACCATTTGGCGGGAGTTGGCCGTTTTCCGCTTCAATATGGATTAGCATATGTTGCATATTTCTGTGATAGCTTGGCTGAATGCGTTGTTGGAAAACATATATGTGGTTCTTTGAATTACCTTCTAAAGCAGTAATCCTCACTGTCAAGAACTGTGAAGAACTAAACAACTTCCTGAAGCACATCAACAGCGTAAGACCTTTCATCACTTTCACAATGGAGTAGGAAGTCCACAACGAATTGCTATTCTCAGACGTGTGGGTGGAGAAGACCAACAATAAGTCAGAAACAACCGAAAACCCATCCACACGAGGCAGTCTCTAGATTACGAATCCAACCACCATCAGTCGACTGAAAGAAGAACCATGAAGACTGTAGTAGAACTTGATTTGGGACACTTCTATACAAAGGAAGGTCTCTAGAAAAAACAACTAAATGGTTACTGCAAAGTGATGGTGAAACAGATGTTGCCTGAAGACAGCAAGAGCCTCGCAAGGAAGAGAAGCCGTCACAACCAGTACTTGCACTTCCCTACATCAGGGGATTTTCGGAAAGGATAAGAAGATTTGGGTCCTAGTACAACATCAGAACCTGCTTCAGATCCGGGAACACTATCCGTAGCAGCCGCACGAAAATCAGGCCACCAATCGCGAACTGTGATTCCAAAAATTGCATTTACTGGATAGCCTGCGAGTGCCGAAAATCCTATATCGGTAAAACTAAGAGACCATCGAAAACACACACAGTGAGAAGAAACTAGCAAATCGGGAATGGCAGAGCATGTTTGGACTCATCAACATAACATCAAGTCATACACAAGAAGGGACACTGGTTCAGGAGGAAATTCAAAGAAGCCAATGCGTTGTCCAACAACGCATTTCGACAAACTAGCGTAGAAATACGCAACATATGGACACCCATAATCAAGCAATAAACGGTTAACTCTCGCCAAACGGTCAGCTCCCTCTCAACCGGTGAAGCATAAAAAGGAAATAGGGGATAGGTGAAACCTCTTGAATAACATAAATAGTCATCTCTTGAAGTCATCAGCCGAAGACGATTGTGGATACTAACAATTTTTTAATTTTTATTTTTTTTTTATCGTTCAATTGTCAATTGTTGTATTTTATTCCATTTCAATTTCATTTCAGGTTTGTTTTTTGCTTAATATAATTGTTATTTCCAGTTATTTATTTCAATTATTTCTTTCAGGGATTTCATATCATTTTATGTTACATCAGTCCAAACTAATGATATTCACCATGAAACATTGTCAACCACCTTCAAACAAACGTAGTCGTATATTTATACTGTTGAATAATAAAAATTTCATTTGACTTTTTTGTGCTGACTAATTTGTTATTCATGAAGTAGCTGAAAGGACATGACCAAAGAAATTTAAAAAATATAAATTGCCCGCTGTATAACTATAAAGTGGCCAGTTTCAAACAGGAGAGTCAACATTATTAATATACACAACATTATTCGTTCGATTCTTTCTTTTCAAATGGAAGATCATTTTATTATCTACCCAACAGTGGCTAGTTGTCTGAATGAAAATTGGTAACATCCATGATTGCCTATATTTTGGATAATAAGTTTTGAGCGCGAGCATGTAGAGTGACAGAAAGATGACTAAGATACACAAAGATGACTTTGCAGACCGGAATTAATTTCTCATTCTCATTCATTGATTTTGGAAATCATCAACTTCATATTGACGAGTGGCCAGATAGCCCGAAGTCAGTCTGTAAGTGTGTTCTAATAGTTGTATCACCAACAGCATATGCAGGAATTACTTGTGTGAAGAATCCTGCACTGTCGAATATAATACAACGTCCTTCGTGGTATTAGCCAGGGGGTAGTTGTTCCTGATAGGTGTCAGTCATCAACCTACATCGAAGGTGAATTGTGACTGGCCTGAAACAATTGTTTTTTAGAAAATTTGATTCATAGCCAGTCTTCAAATATGCTCCTTATTTTATGTGAAGTTTTTTCTTATACGAGGAATTGGGAAATTTGGATATGCGGTTGGTTACCTTCTTCACGGGCAGATGGGGCGATGACAAATATGTTGTTTATCCATCCCTCTAGCCTAGTTCGAGAAATGATACTCTGGAAGAAATTCGACTTTCAA